GTGCGTGTGCGTGTGCGTGTGCGTGTGAGTGTGCGTGTGAGTGTGCGTGTGCGTGTGCGTGTGCGTGTGCGTGTGCGTGTGCGTGTGCGTGTGCGTGTGCTTGTGCGTGTGCGTGTGCGTGTGCGTGTGCGTGTGCGTGTGCGTGTGCTTGTGCGTGTGCGTGTGCGTGTGTGTGCATGTGTGCATGTGTGTGTGTGTGTTTGCGTGTGCGTGCGTGCGTGCGTGCGTGCGTGCGTGCGTGCGTGTGTGTGTGTGTGGTGTGTGGGGGGGGCGTGTGTGTGCGTGTGTGTGTGTGAGTGTGTGAGTGTGTGAGAGTTTGTGTGTGTATTTGTTTGTTGTTCGTGGTTGTGGTTGTGTTTGTGTTTGTGTGTAGTCGTGTGTGTTTGTGTGTGCTCCAGCGTCCCCCCGCCCCATGTGGCAGCGCCCCCGACGCCGCTGCCGCCCGGCGCCGCAGCCCCGCCCGCGGGTCTGCGCAGGCTCTTGGAGCCCTCCTGCTGCCCCGCTGGGTGCCCGCCCCCCCACGCTGCCCCCTGCGCTTGACGGTGCACGGCGCCGCCGCTGCCGCCCTGCCGCCCCACCTGTGGCTCTCCCAGGCGGGGCGTTTTCCTTCATGTTCACTTCTGCCTCTCCCGCCTGCTCCCTCCCTCCGCGCGCCGCCATGGCGCTGACGGGCTGCTCGCAGCCGCCGCGCTGGCGCCCCGGGCTTAGTCTTGCCTCCCGCCGCCTGCGGCCCAGCTTCTTGCTGGGAAACCACGCCCGTTTGCCGCCCTAGGGAACGTGCGGCTACCAGATGTCGATTCCATGCTGACCGTTTTGCACCCTTGCCCTACTGGAATGATCCCTGTCACCGCACTGCGCTCCGCCGCCGCCGGCCCCCTGGTGCAGCAGCCGCCGCGGACCCACCGGTGGTGCCGGCCGCGCCACGCGCTCCAGGCGTGACCCGTCCCCTTGAGCGGCCTCGCTCCCCCCCTCTTTCGGCAGTTTCTTCTGTCCTGTCCCATTGTCCACGCACGGTGGCACAATTCGCTGCAACGGTACCCCCCTTTAGTTAGCCCTCCGCCACCGCAGTTACTTTGCCTAGCCGACAACGCAACCAGTGTTCGTGTGCGTGTGTGTGTTCGTATGCGTGTGCGTGTTTGTGTGTGCGTGAGTGTACGTGTCTTTGCGTGTGTGTGTGTGGTGTGTGTACGCGTGCGCGTGTGTGAGAGTATGAGAGTGTGTGTGTGTGTGCTTGAGAGAGAGAGAGAGAGAGACAAAAAAAGAGAGCTTGCGTGTTTGTGTGTGTGTGCATGCCTGCGTGCTTGCTTGCGTGCGTGCGTGTGTGTGTGTGTGTGTGCGTGGGTAGGGGTGCGTGCAGGTGTGCGTGTGTGTGTGTTTGCGTGTGCGTGCGTGCGTGTGTGTGTGTGCGTGTGTTTGTGCACGTGTGTGTGTGTGTGTGAGTGCATCTGTGTGTGTGTGTGTGTCTGTGCGCGCGTCTGTGTCTGAGTCTTTATATGTGTCCGTGTCGGTGCCTGTGTCTCTGTGTGTGCCTGTATGTTTGTGTGTGCGCGTTTCTGATTGTGTGTGCGGGCATGTATGCTGTGTGTGTGTGTTTTCGTGTGCGTGTGTGTGTGTTGTTTGTGTGTGGTTGGTTGTGGTTGTGTATGTGTTTGTTTGTGTATACTTGTATGTGCGTGCGTGTGTGCATATGCGTGTGTGTGCGTGTGTGGGTGTGTGTGGGTGTGTGTGCGCGCGTGTGTGTGCGTTTTTTTGTGCGTGTGTATGTGTCGGTCTGTGTGTGTGTGTGTGTTCTGCCTATGTGTGTGCTTGTGTCTCCGTTTCTGCTTGTGTGTGGGTGCGTCTGTCTATTTATATGTCTCTCTGTGTGTGTGTGTGCGTTTCTGTCTGTGTGTGCGTGTGTGTGTGTGCGCGTGTGTATGTGAGTCTCTGAGGGGGCAGGCGGGTGGGGTGGTGTGGTTAAGTCGGTGGGTCGGTGGGTGGATGTGTCTGTGTGTTTGGGTGTGTGGTTGACTCTCTCTCTCTCTCTCTCTGTCTCTCTCTCTCTCTCTCTCTCTCTCCCTCTCTCTCTCCTCCTCGACGCCGCGCGCGAGGCCGCGACTGGCAAAAGTGCGTGTGTGTATGTGCCTGTGTGTGTCTGTGTTTGTGTCTGCGTCTGCGTTTGTGTCTGTGTCTGTGTGTGTGCGTGTGTGTATGTGTGCGTGCGTGTGTGTGTGTGTGTACGGGTGTGCGTGTGTGTGTGTGTGTGTGCGTGTGTGTGTGTGCGTGTGTGTGAATGGGTGGTTCCGTGCATGCGTGCTTGCGTGCGTGTGCGTGTGACTGTGTGACTGTGTGACTGCGTGATTTTGTGACTGTGTGACTGTATGTGCATGTGTGTGCGTGTGTGCATGTGTGTGTTTGTTTGTGTATGTGTGTGCGTGTGGGTGTGGGTGTGGGTGTGGATGTGTTTGTGCGGGCGTCTACGGTACATGTGTGTGGTGTGTGTTGTGAATGTGGTGTGTGC